ACCTGTTTTTCTAATTGAGTCGATGACCAACCAGTTAAATGTTGAATGAGTTCAGCACGATAAAATTTTTGAATATTTTGTTCACGTTCAGCTTTTGAGATAGTCGGAATAGGTGATTCATTTCCAGTGCTTAACAAAAACAAATTATTCGAGTTTAATCGAATTTTTTTTTAAATCTGAATTTTAATTGATCAGGAGAAAAAAAATGCTCGATTTAATTCAATTTAGAAATTGACATTTAACAAATAATAACAAATCGGAAGCGATTACAGATAGCATTATTGGTAGTACCTAAAAACCTTTTCCGTGAGAGCCGGCGTTGATACTTATTAATCGTATATCAACAAATATGGTAATACGATCGGATCGAATGATCAAGTTAGACTAGAAGACTTGATAGAAAGGTGGAATATCAAATAACATAAATAGAGGTATAGACCAATCGACTCAACTATTGCTTTTCTAACCCAAAAAAATTAGATACAAATATTTTAGAAATTTTCGATTGATGGAATCCTTATTCGAATATTTTGTTTTCTATCATTATTCTTGTCTTTTTCTATTGTAAAAAGTTTTCAGCTGGAATTCTCATCAGTCTTAATATTGAGTTACAGCTCTTAGTGGTGGATTTAGAGAAGAGGGCATCTAAGGTTAACCACATCTCCCTTTCAAAATGTTTTTCGATTTTTCTCAGAAGAAAAACGTCTGAAGATGAACTCCAATGACCTTCAACAATTTCAAAAGATGTTTTGTCATCATGATCATGTCTTATTTTTGCGAAGTTCTAGACCTATCACCGACATTTCTAATCAGCTTCATAGCATATTTGATGCAGAAATTCGCAAATTTGTCCTAAAAATAGACAACAAAGTTTTGAAAATAGTGATTGAAATCTACTGTTTTTAACAAAGGCAAGAACGTATTAGAGTATTACTATTTATAAAAATAAAGGAAATTAACACATATAATTAAAATTAATAATTTTTTATAGTTCATAAAATCTATTTATGAATTTAATAAAGCTGTATTCATAAAAAATATTTTCTATATATCTTTTAATTATTTCACTGGGATTCTTTTGAAAGTAATGTATGACAAGTAGGTCATTAAAATTGAACTAAAAGTATAGTGTTGAATTTTTCATCTATCAAAATCTTTTTCTCACACATAAATTATGATATCATTAATAAATTAAAAGAAAAAAAAACTGTTGCTTCATTGTTTATTCTACCCGTCTTTGCAGTAGAATGGAGCTTACTAATCACGATCATTTATGATCATATTTCTATCTATAATCTTCCGTTTTTTCATAATTAAAAATAATATAAATTTTCAAAAACTTCTAATAACATACGCTAGAGTAGATTCTGTGTTTGTTAACGAAGGAAGAGTAGATTGTGATACCGAATATTTATTATCATTTCCTAAATAATAAAAATCATTTATGAAATTTCAATTGAAATATATTACCATTTACAAATTTTGTATTATTTTCTAAAGGTTTCGATTGAATATCACATAGAGAAGTGGAAACTGAAATAGCTTTGAAAAAGTTCATTAATTATAATTTTAATATGATGATATTCATTTTACCGGATTCTGATAAAGATGAATGTAAAACAGTACCATTACTTTCATTTGTATTATTACTGCCAGATATTAATAATGATGACTCTTTACTACTACTTGATGAAAATGACATTTGAGAATTATCATCATCTAAGATATAAAATGAAAAGAAACAAAAAAAATTTACATAATTAATTTCTTTTTTTTTTATAATATAATAAACCTGGAGTTGGAAGACGATGGTTTGGATTAGTAGGTAATTGTTCATTAGACTGTAAAGATTCTTGAAATGTATGATTTCCATTGTGATGATTATTTGAATATTCTGAAGGTAATTTAGAATTTAAAATTTGAGGAAGTTTTTTTTCTGAAGATAATTCTTCTATCTTATATCTAGTACGAACTGTTGATGAAACATTTGGTGTTGATTCTTTTATAAAATAAAAAAAAAAAAAAAAGTCTTCAGATGAAAACAAAAAACAAAATTTTTTTATTAAGAAAAAATGAAAACCTTTTTTAATTCGATTTGTCGTAGATATTGATGATGATGTACTTGTTCGATTAGATTCATCTGTTAGCCATCCTTTTGGTTTTTCCCATTGCGATATTTCAGTTTTACAATTATAAAAATATGTTTTGCCTAAAAATACAAAAAACAAACGAAGATATGACATTTTCTGTCTTCAGAATTAGAGATTTTCAGCTTCAGTTTATTCATTATCAACTCATGAGAAAACCTTCCCACCTGTTAAAAAGTTTTTGAACTAAAATTTTGTCCACGATCGGAACATAATAAGATACAAGAGGTTTTTATTATTCAAAAGAGAGTTCTCGAGGCCCCGAAGTATATTGACATTTCATCAGTCAGAAATTAACCAATTCGATGAGTTTTTGTTAAAGGTTTTTGAAAATCATATTAGGAAATAGTGTCCCGTTCGATTTAGAATTATGATATGACTAATCGATAGAAAAATATTGTTTTTTTTTCGATCTACGCAAGGCCAACATTCTTAATTTGTCTTATGAGAGTATTATAAGACTTTTCCTGATATCTCTGATTTCAACCAATCAATCTGTGATCATCCAAAAAAGGCAGCCGGACAAGGATAATTCATCGTGTCGATTCGATATAGATCTCACACTATTATCCCAAAATTTACGAAGTGTCAACTTCTTCGTTAAATATAGAGACTGACTGTAGAAGTTCAGAAATATTGATATAATAACGTCAGATCAATTCGAACCTCAAAAAAAAAATATTGCCTTTCGATTCAGTATGATAAATTACCATTGCCAGCTGCTTTTTCGGGGTATCACAGCTCAATTAACTGCAATCAGAGGTCTCAGGAAAAGCCTTATAACTTTCGAATAGATATAAAATTTTGATATACTTCAATGGTTTCGTGTCGTCTCTCTTGAACGATGAAAACCGCACGTTCTATGATGTTCATGCCGATTATTATTCAAAAAACATTGATCTGCCTTATATTTTGGCTTTAACGATAGTATGCTAGCATAAAGCAGCTTGTTCACTCAAAATGACACTTCGATGAACAAGTTTTTATACATTTTTTATACTACACTCGACTTTATCGTATCATTAGATGCAGTTTTTTCTTTTTGATTACAAATCTAGTCTTTGTTTTCAAAAAAAAAGGTTTTGACCTGAAAAAAACTGATTTTAAAGCTTTTAAAAACTTATTATTCAAACCTTACATTAAACGTTTTTAGCTAATCCTCTGGAGCTAGACACAATTTGAGTAGTCTCTTTTCTCGAATGCCATTCTCAATTGAAAATTCAGAATTTTTTCAATTAGGTGCAGTACGCCAAAATGTGTGTAACAGCGTTAAATTTATTTTTTAATTTTATCATGCGAATATTTCTTTCGAAAAAATCATTCATTCTCTACAAAATTCGTTCTAATGATATTTCAATTGCAGAACGACATGCATAGGAAATTCGAACTTAAGCAAGAACAATCAAAATTTAGGGTCTCATAAGTAACAGTGTTACGTATATACAAGCTGAACAGTACTTTTTTTTTATGGATATTTTAGAAAATTCATTTCTCGGATATTATTTGTCTAAAAATTCTGCAACTTTGCTTCTACCTTTAAAGTTTCATCCTGCAGCAAAATTATAGTAAAATGTTAGATTTCAACCAAATCATAACTTGCATTCATATAATCGTAGGCTTTCTCTATTCTATAGAAAGTTTCAGTTGAAAAGCTATTGAGCACTTGACAAGGTTCATCTGTCATTGTAATTAATACATACTATTATCAGTGTTTATTGAAGCATTAGGATACGCCTAGTGTCCTTGGATTGATTTGACCCTGAAAATTTTGTACCTTCTGAGCTCTAAACATTTCACTACAACAAAACTATATTTTGATCGAATGAGTATTTCAATGTTATAGTGAACTCGGATGTCAGTGTCCTCGTAACTCACTGTTCCTTACTTACAACAACATTATACATTCTTATTTTTTAATTGATACAAACCTGTTGAACTTTTAAATTCAGACCAATCACCGGATACACGAAGCGGTTTTTTCGTCTAGATAAAATCTTATTAAAAAAAAAAAAAAACTTTATTAATATAATTAAACGTACATCTTTAAGAATCTTTTTTTCATCATTTTCACGCGGCTGTTGTTGAGATGATGATGAACTTGATGCAACTCGATTATTTGAAGACACTGATTTAAACAAAAAATTATAATTATTTTTTTTTTTTTAAATAAGAAAATAGATGTACATTGAGTTCGTATATATTTTCGATGATTTGATGTTTCTTCATTAAAACCATGTGTTTGTAAATTCCACTCTCGTTTATTCGACTAAAATTAAAATAAATTAAACTTTTTTTTTTTTAAATTATCGTTTTTATTTATCTTACAGGATAACCGCTACCGTCATTCCGGCTTTCATAAATCTGTGTATCTGTTGTTCTATGTTTACTATCATACATTTCCAATACCCAAAAATATGTACATTTGGATCGTAAAATACGAAACCAAATAAACGTACGCACACACACACACACACTCTCACAAAATGTTATTTGCCGACAAAAAAATTAATCAAGTTAATATGAAAGTTGATTAACAACGACTTTTTTTCTTATCATATTCACAGACTTCTCTTTTTTGTTGTTGTTGTATTTATATCGAAACAAGCAAGGTAAATATCTTTTAACCAAAACAAAAAAAAAGAAGGAAATTTATATTACTTTTCCAATGTTGTCTTTCATCATTGATTCACTATTTTATTTTATTTTTCTTCCATTCGAAAAAAAAAAATATTTAAAACACATTTATGCATTTTGCACATCCATGTAGAGGTTTGTTACTATAGAAACATTATAGAAAATGATGAATACATCGTATACATTGTAGCTATAAACGAATTTAACGACATAAACAAAATGTCGCATATGTAAGTATTTTTCTTTTAAATTAAAAATCTTCACACTTATCTATTTCAGTTCATATAATAAACAATGGCAAGATGCACAAATTGCCATGGTCGATATGTTGGCTATCGAAACGCCCGAACAGCCACGACTACCAGAAAACGTATATTAATAATAATTTTATTGATTATAATGAATTTATTTTATTTCTTAGGATATCAATGCAGCTTTTCAATTAGTTGCAACTATGTTTGTGAAATATGTACAAATATTTCGAAGATTAGAACAATGTTATGATCAAATAGTACATCCACAAAAACGACGATTAATACGTGTTGTTCTTGATGGTTGTATGGGACGAATAATTGAATTAAAACATGAAATGATTAGCATGGATTATTCAGAATATCATTATTTTGATGATATTCTTGCAGATCTTAAATTAACACCGGTTTGATACAAAGAACGTGAATAAGAGAAAACATAATTGTTTGTTGTTGTAGAATGATCTTGATATTCCAATTCCAAATTATTTCGTACTTGAACGTGCACAAGCAATTGAAAAACGTGAACGTCTTCTTGGTCAAATTTTAGCTCGAATGACATTAGAAAATGAAACTCAAGATACTAGTAGCATCATGACAATGGATGATGCTATTCGAATAATTCAATCACATGAACGAGCTCGTCAAGGACGATTACGTGCTAAACAAATAGGTGAATTACGTCTTAATGATCAACGTGCACGACAACGTGCAAATATGGGAGAATCAAAAATGGATAAAGTATTAGCAGCAACAATTATTCAAAAATATTATCGTCGTCATGTTGTACGACGTGAAGTAAAAAAGTTTCGTGAAGAAGAATATATGTTCTTAGGAATGGTAATATTTATTGTTTTTTGAAATAATTTAATTGAAAGAAAAACATAAATCGATAAAAACAAAAATACTTTTTTCAATATGAAGAAAAACGAGGATATGTTATAGAAGACGTTAACATCTTAAAAAAAAGAAAATTCTCGGAAACTTTTATTAGTTTTTCTTTCGTTGCAGCTGAGGTATTTAAGAAAGTACTGTTTGTTAGAAAATTTCATCTTTTTCAAAAAATCATAGTTTGAGTCGAGATAAAAGCAAACCATATGTGCGTCATCAATGTTGAATACTATATTTTTCGCTAGAATCATAAAAAGAGAACTTTTTTGAAAAAAACAAAGTTGAAGTTTTGATAATCTAAATACTCCATTGTGTTCAGTACTCAATGCTAATTCGAAATAGAAGATATGGCGTAAAAATCTCGGCACAAAATATTTGCACATTTTTCGACCACTAATAAAATACTGATTAGGGTTTGAGAAGCAGTAAGTTAGAATCAAACTTTCTCGCTCTGTTCGAATATGTGTTTAGAATTTTCGTGCGCAGATAAGATTTAATAATTATCATCCGATTGTTTCACACTAGTGATTATATCGGAATAATATTTTAGTATATTTTGTATTTCGATTGAAGCCTTCTACAAAGAGTGCTGTTGATTTTTGTATGACAGATTTTTAAACGCTTGTATGTTTAAAAGCAATTTTTTGACTAATACCTGTTTCCATAGAAACTAGCTCTTGTGAGGAAACGCCAAGATAAGATTTCGTTTATTGTAATATCTAATTTAGTGCTCTATGATAATACTAAGTTAGAGCAATTTCTAGACACAAACTGAGAACTACGAGAAAACCACTATGTTGCTTTGTACAGACACAGTTTTGGACTTTTTCACACAACTAGTTGTTCAGTCTTGAATAGGAAAACATTCTGATTGTAGCTATCACTGGTTGTCTATTAGTGACCAAAAAAAATAAATGAATATTTTTTTGTCAAGACTTTCGCGCTAAAGGTTATGTATTTTGATAAAGTGATATGTTGAAAGAGTACTTTATATTCTATCAATATGGATATCTAATTGAAGAGGTCGTTGCTATTGACGAAGGAACAATTCGAACTGATACACATTGTTTGAGCTCATATTTGATTCACAAGCAGATGTTGGTAAGGCTAGAAAAATCCTAAACAGGTTCGAGCCCATGAGTCTCTCGAGTCGAGTTATGAACGTTTTACTAAATATTCGATCCAGCTTTTGACACATACCGGTAAGTCAAATAATAGACGTTGACCCATAGATAGATCTGATGATTCAGGAAATATATTGAAAGTTTCAGCCAAAAACAAGAACGTCTTTTTGTCAGGATACTGGGTTTCAAAAAAATGATTGCTTGTCACAAAGATCGAGTTTATTTGAAAATTCAATATCTGCACAAAGAAACACTTTTTTTCGGCTGAAAACTTCAAAATATTCTACTAGTCATTCAATCTATTTATCGACGGAGTTTCCAATCAAAATACGATTATTTGATTTTTCTGTAAATATTTATAGGCATGAACCTCTTAAGATTTCTCAAATCTTAGTTAGACTTTCTTATGGACTCAATATGAGCTCAAACGACGGATATCAGTTCAGGTAGTTCTCTTGTGAGGCATATTGATTTTGAAATGTTTTTCATTACTATATTTTATATAAACTTTCGAAATCATCACTAAGAACAATTTCAGATGTGAGAAACATTCAAGGCCCCCTCAACAATAGAAACACTTTCATTCCATATAGTATCAATCGTATGCTATCTAGTGGTAAAGTCGATTTTCTTTATTTTTGATTTCAAACTCTTTCCATATGTAGGTGACGAATAGATGGTCATCACGATAAGTCTTCTGAATAGTTTAACTGGAATATTCTCTCTGAAACAATTTTTTCACTGATATCAATAATGACTTTTATATCTAACAGATTCTTATTACTTTCATCAATTTGTAGAAAATTTCATCTTGATCAAACATGAAAAATAAAAATAAAATCTTTCAATTTCTTTCAAAAATTGTCTGTAAAAGCGCAACATCATTTATTGAAATACCATTTCAGACTAAAAGTATTGATTTTACATATATATTGCTGAAAGATTGGAAGATCGTTGCCTAAAATATTTCAATAAAGACTAAAAATAAATTTGAGATATCTTGTCTGTATCTTTCTTCTTACAAATACATAAAAGGTTTTCTTGTATGCAATCAAGTATTTAGAATCGCCAATATTTTTTAGGCAATGCCAACATTTCATAAAGATCCATTAAAACGTTTACTTGCTGATGTACGAGCACATGAAGATGAAAGACGAAAACGACAAGAAAAACATGAAATAGCATATCAACAAGCATTAGTAGCAACGCGTGAAAAAATCAAACAAACTGAAGGACCAGATATGAAAGAACGTTTACAAGATCAAATTCGTCAATGGTTTATTGAATGCAGGTAGACATGAAACGTTTAAAATTATTCAAATAATAAACTTTTTCTTTTTACAGAAATGTTTCACAAAAATTTCCCGATTTTCCTGATGAAGATGATGGTGGTTCAAATAAAATTTTTGAGAAAAAGACTGTTGAAGAAATTCAAGAAGATCTTGATGCTGTATGATTTAATTTTAGAATATTTTCATTTATATTAATTTTTATTTTTTTAGAAACTTGAAAGTAAAGGCAAAGGAAAAGGTGATAAAAAAGGTTAGTTAGTAAATTCTAAATTTTAATTATATTAATCTATTTCTTTTTTTTTAGGCAAAAAAGGAAAAAAAGGCAAGAAAGAAAAGAAAGGTAAAATTATTTCATTTATATAATTTTCGAATATTAAATGATTTATTTTAGGAAAGAAAGGCAAAAAAGGCAAGAAAAAGAAGAAAGGAGTATGTAGATTCAAAAAATTTATTCAAAAAAATTTATTTTGAAATATTTTCAAAGGATGATGAAGAAGGTTGGACATTACCAGAATCTCAATTTGTTACTGAGATGATGAAACCATCAACACAAACATATCAAAGTTAGTCAATAAACAAACAAAAAAAAAACAAACAAACATGATTAAATATTTTATTTAGGTTTTTGGGAAACAAGAGATGAAAGTAATAATTTTGAACAAAATCATGATAATGAAATAGTTAAAGAAGAAAAACGCACTGAAGTTCAAGAAGAAATACGTATTGAAGTTGATGCTTTAATGCGTGAAGAATTAAAAAATTTAAAAGCGGTTTGTTATCAATCATTTATTAATGTGTAATATACATTTTATGTTTCTAGGCAATTGATAAAACAAAAGACAAAAAGAAAAAGAAAAAAAAGAAGGTAAAATCTTAAGAAAATAAATTTATTGTTGTGTTCAATAGAATTAGACTGTTTCTTTTTAAATCAATCTTCTCATTATGATTTGTTAGTATTGCTGAGTTACAAAAAATCTAAATGATTTGAAAATCATAAAAGCGTTGAATTGCAGTCATTCTCTACGACTAAGTGGCTACGTTATTCGATACATATCCACACAGATTGTGTGCAAAAGTCAGTGCATCAATCATAGAATGACTCTGAACAAGTTACTGACGGCCGTCGATCTCGGATCATTCATGCAATAGCATGCTGACCATCTTGGGACACATATAGAGAAATTCATTAGAATCAATCAGATGTCTGATTAATAAATCATATAAAGCACAAGAAATTTCTTGAATTGTAAGTTTTATTCTTTGAGACTCATGGGAAGAGATCAGAATTAACCTTGACTTTGACTTTTCCCACCTTTATATTGCCATGAGGAGACATGAATCGAGCCTGTACAACACATCAATTGGTACAATGAATATGATAGAATAAAACTCACCATTCAAAACGAAACCTGTAGTGTTCAGTCTCAGTTATCGTGAAGAAATTTAGAGAGCTTCGGCCACAGTATATCCACACCAATAAGCTAATGGTACGAGTTATTTTCAGAAAATTCCTAGCTTATTTGGATCTATCAATTATGCAAAAGTTCTTCATTGATTTTGTTTTCAGTATAGCTTAATAACAACTCTACGTGAAGATTTCATAATTTTTATGTTAGAAAGAGTAAAGCCTGTATTACAAAGCTGTATAAAATGATTTGACTCAAAATAATTACCGAAGGCTAAAAACTTCTCTGAACATTTCGGGTATTTAGAAGAAAACCTCCGTCCACTAAGAAATTATTTTTCATCTTTTACCAAATTTCGTAACACTACAATAGAGTATTGTAACCGGGTAAAAAAAAATACAAGTTACGGATCAATTTCGAAATCAACATTTTGCTAACGATCTTAGATAGTGAAAAATGTTCATTTATTTCTTAGCTTATTACAAAGAACCTGCAGAAATGTGAAAACTTTGGGCTACAATGCGTCTTTTGTTTTCTTTCCAAATATAGTTGCAAACTGTTTGTAGTACTTCTGATTTAGAAGTTATAAGTTGACCTTTTAGAGGCTTGCAAATTAAGTTTAGACGAATTTGAGCATACCAAAACTTACCAAAAGTAGCTCGAAAAGATCATGTACTAACAATTAGTTTGTTCCAAGTCGTTTGTTAACAGTGAGTATTAAGGTATGGTACATAATCTCAATTTTCTCGATTACTATAGAAAACAGACCTGCAACATGAGCTTGAACATTCCTGAATGGCTTTTCTGAAACTTGTGACTGTTATATCACGTTATAGAGAACAAACTCGTCTTCAATTCGATGCAAAAAATCGATAGTATAACTTTTATAGTAGAAAAGACTATTGAGGCCGGAAACTCTAAATTTTTTCCGACTCAACATAGTTTGCGGATCTTTAAATAGTTAGCTCAGAGCTTCTAAGCTAGAAATCCTACAAAAAGTTTGGATTCATATTCGATAAAAACACAACATTCGGGTTCTGGGTGGCCGGAGTTACGTCAATAAGACTGTCGCTAACAGAACATTTGCTCATGCCGAAAGTACAACCCAGATGAACGAGGTGTGAGTGGAAAACTCCAGAAAATGGTAAGAATTTGGAAGCAGGAATCCGGTGATTGAGGTCGGTGACTGAATTTATCGAGTTCTTGTAGGTAATCAGATACGATTATCAGATCCTGCTTTCGAATTCCTAAAATTTTTCGGTCGGAAATTCACGAATTTAAATGCATGAATCATTGACTTGAGAATGGACTTTCGCCAATGGCAACAGGCTTGTTGGCAAAATTTCGAAACTCCAGATTCTAACTCAGTGTTTTCAAATTTCGATTACCTGTTGCAATTCTTTGCATAAAACTAATAAACAAAAAAGTCACTTTGTCGTTTAACGTTCCTATGTGTTTTGCCCGATGAAAATATCGTTTTCAACTTCATTATGAATTTCCACTTATGAAAATGTTTTCAAATATTTGTCTTTTTTTACACTAAAAATCGAATTCAATTCAATTTTTCCTAATTCAGAAAAAAAACAGAAAAGGTTTTCTTTAGAAAGCAAAAAAGAAAAAGAAGAAGAAAGAAAAAGATTTAACACCAGATCGAACAATTGAGTCTCTATATGAAGAACTTGTTATGAATCGTATTATAATTCGTCCACCAAAAGTTACTCTTAATGATTTTCTTGGCGATTTTAATTATTTACCAAGTCTTATTCGTCAAGCTAAACATGAACCAATGCCAACAATGTACGATGTTAAACAATTAACTGCCTTATATGGAATTTTACCATTCGGTTTGTTAATATCCTTGATCAATATTAAAATTTTTTTTATATTTAATTAATTTTAGGATCAGAAAAAGTTCATGAAATAGCACCTCAAGTAAAAGGTCTTCTTATTTGTGGACCTCGAGGATGTGGTAAACATATGTTATTACACGCTATATGTAATGAATTAGGTGCAAATTTATTTGATATATCACCACAAAATATTTATGAAACATATCGTGAAAAAGAAGGTATTAAAATGCTTATGCATTTATGTTCAAAAGTAAATTAATCAAGGAAAAAAACTTTTATGAATTAAACTTTTTTAAAAACTTATTATCATAGGTTGGAAAAGCTTTACAACCAACTGTAATTTTTATTAATGATTGTGAAAAATTATTTAAAAAAAAATTAAAACCAGAAGAAAAACAAGTATTTAAATAAAAATAGTTGAATAAATTATTAAAAATTGTGGATATTAATATTTAGTTTGAACCAAAACGCTTAGCTAAAGCATTACCAAAATGGCTTAAGACAATCAAACCTGGAGATCGAGTTTTATTAGTTGGAATATCACATGAACCATATCAAGGTGTTGTCAAACCAATGATGAAAGCTTTTCAACGTGTTATTTTATTACCACGTCCTGAATATGGAACTCGTTTATGTACGTATTTTGCTCGTTTTTTCTTTTTCACCCCAAAATAGAACAATTCAATAGATACATAAACGAAAAAAAATGATAATGTTACTACAGTGAACTCAATGATTAGATCACGATTTGAATTAAATGAACATACACAGTAGTTTCACTTCCCGGAATAGTTTTGTTCTGTTTTCCGTAGTTTTACAACATCGAACAAGTTTCTAATTTTGATATGATCACACAGAGCATTAGCTATTCCATCAAATATCCATGTATTTGTGCATGTGAGCCTGGATCTGGAAGACCCCGCAGTATCCTACAAGTAATAGTAAAATAAAATTTTGTCAGGCTTGTAATTCTGTGAAAACTGCTTTTAGTGAAAGAGCTTCAAGGTAACGAGTATTTTGCTCATTGATATAAAAATTTGAAAAAGTCAGTACTCGAATAGTTACGAAAAATATTATCTGAGAAATAATCTCAAAACGACGGACGAGAGAACAATCCAAAATAAAAACAATCATTTGAACTCATATTAGATCCACGAGGACATCTCAATAAGACTAGAAAAAACTTCAAACTGTTCGTTTCCATGAGCTATTAGGACCAAATTATGGCCATTCTAGTGAGTTTTCAACTCATTCCTAGCTATGTATTGGAAAATTAAATAAGAGAATTTCAACTTGTAATTTTGCCAATGAATAAGTTTCATGGCCCTTAAAATATCTTGAAAATTTTAATCAGAAAGAATCTCGATTTGTCAAAATCTTGAATTTCAAAAAATAGTCGTTTGCCACCTCAATCGAGCTGACTTAAACAATTCCATTTCATAGTACAGTAACATTCTTTCCAATGGAAACTTACAGAATATTGTAAGAATCATTAGATTTATCTCAAGGCAAAATTACAGATGGAAATCCCATTTTTCAATTTGTCAGGAAAAATTTAAAACTACGTCGAAAAATCAATAAAACGGTTCATCATTCGACTCTAGAGACTCATGAAAATGAATCCTTTTAGGATTTTCCTGATTTTATCGAGACTTCCTTATGGATTCAATGTGAGTTCAAACAACAGGTTACCCTTCGGATAGTTTTCTCGTTGATGAACAAATTCATATTCTGCTGCTTTTCAAAATTTATTAAAGTTTTTGAACAAGATTGATAATAAATAATATAATAGAGTAATAAGTGTTATGTTCAATCGCATGAAAAATACTTTAGTCAATCTGTAAACAACAGAAAAAAAACAAAAGTATTCATATTTCCATTTTAATTTTTTCTAGTACTATGGAAAACGCTGATTCCTAAATATGGTGGTATAATAACGCCAGCACTTGACTTAACATCATTAGCAAAACTATCAGATTCATATGCACCTGGACATATTCATGATACAATTGTTGAAACATTGACTGAACGACGTCTTGTTAAAATGTCTAAACATCCATTACAAGCAAGTGATTTTATACCTGGTTTAGCACATCATAATGCTATTTATAAAGAAGAAGAAGATGCTTATAAAGTAAATTTCATTGAAAAATTTTTCTTTTTAAATGATAAACTTTTTTTTTGTAGAGTTGGTGGAAAAAAACTCCATTGGGTAAAAAGCGTGAACGATTCTTAGAAGATCAAGAAGAAGGCGGAGGTGATGGTAAAGGAAAAAAAGACAAAAAAGGAGGTGGTAAAGGGAAAGGCAAAAAGGGAAAAGGCAAAAAGAAAAAATAACCGATTAATTATTAATTGTTTTGTATACGTTCATAACTATTCGTCAAAAAATTGTTTGTGTATAATCAATATGAGACAAAAACAATATTTTCATTTTAAATTTTTAACAGTTTTAATAGAATGATCATTTTTATTCTTTATCAAATAAATACTTTATGAGTGCTCTTTATTTGTTTCTTATTAATATTTATTTTCTCATCAAAAAAACATTAAAGAGAAAAAAAGTAGGAATCAATGACGTCAATGTATATCTACTGAATGAGACTTTTGACGTGAAAGCTACAACGACATGATGTTTCTTCTAGTTTCGATTGATCGGCTGTCATTAAACAACAATAGGCAAATGATGAGTATGCCTATGTAATCGAGCGAATAACGATGAACTTGAACGATAATCACCGCCGCATTCCAGCCGTACGGTATATATATATGAATATATATATATGCGTGTCTCATCATCCACCATTATTCTAGCGCACGATTAAACATACTTATGATCATTCATCCCATCACACTCATCTTTACAATCGATAAATAAATGGATTCTGGTCAATGAGATTAAACTAAAGAAACGACAAATCTTTAATTCGTTCTAATAAACAATCATCAATCAAATTGATCTATTTACGATATAAAAAGATGATGAGGGCAAAAGAAAAATAAAAAAAAAACAAAACATAAGACGAATATACACAAGTAAAACAACTAACTGTACGGAAGGTCTCTTTTGCTCTTTTAATTGACTGTTAATGTAAACAATGTTTTGTATGCTCTTTTGTTTATTAAGAAAACAATATATTTCCTCGAACGAGCTCAGCAACAATGTATTAGAATAGCTGTTATTCTTAATTGAATTGACAACAAGGCGTTGCCAAGAAATCACATTAGACCAATATTTAACAGAAGTCATTGTATATCCTAGACATTTTTTGACATACGTATATATATATTTATATAAGTAAATATATATATACTAATATATGTTTTTTGTTTATTCCTCATCTTATGAATGAACTAAAGCACCATGTGTGAAAAAAAACAAAGGACCCTGAACATAAAAAAAAAGATAGCAACACAAAAAAGGCCCTTCTCTAAAAGAAGAGAAAAAAATGAAACAAAAGAAAAACGAAGAAACAAACAAAATGATCGAAAAAAAACAGTGTTGACCAAAGATAGCAAAAAAAAGAAAAAGAAGAAACCAAAAGGGTTCAATAAGGATGGACAAGAAACATACTGTTTACACAAAAGAACAAAAAACAAAAAAAGGAAATGACGAAATCTTTTTGGCATAAGGTTTAAAGGAAAAACAAAAACACAGGGAATTTTAGTTGCAAAGTAGTGCTCGACTACCATTGCTATTACCATTTCCTTGTTGTATTCGATGTAGTTCTCTAACAGCTACATCAACAAGAAGTTGAAAACCGGCTAGATCACCACCTGTACTGCTATTACTACTAGTCGATGTTGTCAATGAATCCGTCGAACAAAGTAAACGTGGATGTTGTTGTTTTGAATCAGTTGATATTAAATTGATTACAGTCGGATCACGTATTGATTTATATAAAACAGGCTCCCTAGACATCGTTGTCGTCGTCGTCGTACTGCAACAAGGTTCAATAGATGATGATGATAATGATGATGATGAATTATCTGTTTGTTGTGATAATTGTTTATTAAGCACATTTGAATTATTTGTAAGTATTAATGAAGGTGATGAACTTCGTTCAACAATAACATTTATTTTCACGGGTGGTATGGATGATGAATTATCAGTTACTGTTGTGGTTGTTGTTGTTGTTTCAGTTGAAGTATTTTCTCCACTTGTTGAACATATAGCTGACGATGGTGATGAACGTTTTTGATCACGACTAAAACGTCTTGATATAGTAAATTTTTTTGGATCAGTACCTTCTTTTTTTAATAAATCCGGTAATATCCGTCGTCGTGCATTAATAAACCAATTACAAACTTGATTTATTGATAAATCAGCACGACGAGATAAATTAGCTTTTTCATCGTCTGTTGGATAAGCATTATAACGATGTTCATAAAGCCAATTTTTTAATATTCGTACCTATGAAATATAAAAAACAAAATAAAATCAATCGAAATTTGTGTGATTTTTCATTATTCTTACGCTATCTTTTGGTAAATTAGCTCGTCGTTTTTTTAATTTCGATGATGATGAATTTGTTATATTAATATTTGTTGTTGATGATGATGATGATAATATTGAATTTGATGAACTATCAAGATCACAATCAGAATCGGTTTGTTCACTAGTACGATTTCGAAGTTTTTGTTGATGATGATAATGATATGATGATGTTTGTGTTGAATTCATTAGAGATGAACGATGTGGACTAACAATAACTTCAGCTGAATGATGATAGATAGACGTCGGATAAAATAGATCATGATGGTTACAGTTTGTTGTCGACGAAGTAGAAGAAGAAGACGAAGACGATGATGTCGATGTAAGTGGTAATGTTGTTAAAGTAGTTGATGGCGGAGATGAAGATAGATATGTAGATGATAGAAGATTAGACATTGTTTGATAATGTGGAATCTGCTGTGAGTTGCTACGAACATATATATTGTTTGGCTGATCAATCATCGAAAATGATAATAGCGAATATTCTAAAATCAAAACAAAAGAAATGAACTCAATTGACATTATATCGAATAATTGAACCGTATAATACACGAAATAAAAGAGAAAATGGCCTGTCACAATACATAAGTAAAATCAAATGTCATTACTCGATTAACGATTATCAAACAGGTGAAAATGACAATGCACAATATTCATGATTCTAAGACGATGTTAATTTATCTGTCAGGTCCAATGTGCGACACATAGAAGAAAAAAAGTATAGAAAAAAAATGTCTCTCTCTTATCTTACACTATCTGAGAACGCGTACCGTGTGTGTATCGTCCGATGTGTTTCTTCTTCGTAGATTTTTTTTCTTTTCATAGTTTTTATAGACGAAAATCAAATACAGATGGTTCTTATATTGTCTTACATTATTTCATAAAACTAGAACTAGGAAGAGAACAAAAAAAAAACTCCGAATTTTGCATTTCCTAACTACCATATGATTATTTATTCCTTCAATCGTATATGACAAAGCAACAAAAAAAAAGTTTTCTTTTTTATGATATCCTTTTAATGAAATCTCAGCTGATGGGAGAAATTACGTGTTTTATTCTTTCTTTCTTATCAATAAGTATTTATAGTGTAAAAAAATGAAGATAAATCGAGATGTTCTTCTAATGTTCTTTCTTATCAAGTTTGTGTCGAAAGAAGTCAGATGTCATCTCTTAGAAACTCATTCGACTGCACATCTTTTTCTTATTGTCCTAATGATTATAGTTAAGACGGGAATATGAAAAGCGCTCGATCGTCATTAACTCATTATTTGACGTACCAATTGATATAGTCCTTCTATATTTTATTTTCTTTATTGTTATTGTTCTTCCGCTTTCTGTCTCTCTCTCTCTCTCCTTCTCTATCTCGTTTTCTTTTCTATCAGTCATTATCATCATCATCATCATTATGGTGTATCATACGATCGAAAAAAGATAAAATGTGCGACATCACCTTATTGGATGTCAGAAAGAAAACGAGAAAGGAAAAAATCGATACACCAAAAAATGATTAATTCGACGCGTATGATATCAATCAAATGAGAACACACAAAAAAAAGAAAAAAAAAACGAATAGACGAAAATCACTGCTTTTCGTCTTCTACCTTACGATGAGCCTCATTGATCACAATCATCATATATATCTATATAACACACCCTATTGAGATATACAAATTGTAGGGAAGAGAAGAAGAAGAATCGACAGAATAGAGTGTGAAAGACAATCTATCGAAAAGATTACATATGATAAATTCAATTCCATTTTAAATTAAAGTCTTAAGTAAAAGCCTTGAGATTTGATATTAATTCTATGGTTTCATCTATCTTCAATATATATATATATATAAATATTTCTAAATAAGCAAAAAATAACAAAACCTTTCAACACTAATTACGTGTATGTGTGTGTGTGCAATCGAACAGTCACCTAAACAGCTGTCTACAGATATCCATCATCATATCATCAATATCCGTTGAAGACTAAATAGAGAGAAAAGACAACGAAGCAACAACTACTTGTTTCAATATCTTATCATCAATATTCGTTAGAAGAATAACGAGAAAAAAGTTTTGCCTTGGAATGTGTATATGAGTGTCCTGTTAAAGATGATTGATGGAAAGAAAAAGTAAATGAGATAACATTTATAGAAGAAGATTCATTGTTTCTACTCAGCAGGAATTGAACTATTGTTAAGGTTTTTCATTGCTTAAAATTAGTCGATCTGTCAATCAGATTTTGTGATTTCCTGCTGACATAAAAGAAACATGCAATAGAATAAACACAGGTGCTACTTATGAACAACTGGTCAGTAGTACATATACTTCACAGAAGAAAACTTACGTTACGTGTCTGTCTTGTGTCAAATCCCGTTATCTACTGTTATAAGCATGTGCATATCTTTCTACTCAATTTTTTTTTCTTTCTCTCTCTCTCTCTCTCTCTCTCTTTCTTAAGTGTCTATAATTTCTTTCTCTCTTTTTCTGTTACGCTGTCTTTTTTTTTGACGTTTATTGTTCTCTCCGTCTTTCAGTGTTCTTTTTTCTCTTTTTCTTTTTCTTTCAATTGGATTATGATTACCTTTTCTTTTGTTACTGGTTTGAAAAAAAAAAAGAAATGGAATTTGTCACACTACTATACATTCAATTGTACCCAATAAGAAGAAGAAAGAATTCATTGTTTTGAAATGCTTGAAAGAAATAAGATAGAGTAAACAGCAACATACTTCAATTTTCGGTCTGTTTGTGTATATTATAGGCAGGTTTCTATAATATACATATACATGAAGGGAACGTGAAAGAGAGAGAATCACTTATTCACTTGATCGCAGTGCGAAGAAGCGAAACAAGA